AGCCAAAAAAGTCAATGCGGTGTCTGTGACTGCACAATCAAAGTCCACCATCTTTTTTGACTCTCCTCCACAGATGCCCTGCCCAAGGGGGCTCTAATATCACCCTACGGTTGTCTCTTCCCAAGTCTTTCCTCATAGTCAGCCACTAACTGCTGGCAGAGAAAAGTCCCCGTGCCAAGGTGTACATAGGAACAACCAATGGCTGTCAGTGTGCCTACAAATGGAAAAACTGAAGAACTGGTCTACAATGGCAAAATGGTCTATATATGGAAAACTGTGGCAAAGAACGACATCGTATCTCAAAGGTTTTAAGAAACCCATCGAGGAGGATGAAGAAGAAGGTTGCCAGGCTCCAAACACCTTGGCAACCTGTTGGCACCCTTCCACCCCACCAGGCCCTAAGGAGATGGAAGCCATGGATGGTGAGAGCCTGGCTTGGGGCCTCTGGGGAAGATCTCTAAGAACCCTCCCTTACCCACTTCCCTCTCTCCTTCCCCCTCCCCGCCCCATTTCTAACCTTTTTAACCAAGTAAAGAAGCAAAAGATGGCAACTTGGTCTGTGTCTCAAACTTTAAGCTCGCTCTTTGTTTACTCCAAAAGAAAAGGAGAAGGACGGTGTTTGGTATGTTTGAAGGCCATGTCTGAGAGATCAAAACAGGTGATGGAGAGAGATAAAGGGCAAATAAATTCAAGCTACCTGGGAGGGAGGGATTCCTGGAGCAGAGGAGTGGCCAACAGTCCAGCTGCTGAAGGTGAGTAGCCCCTTCATGAAGAGACATGAGTGGGGGGGGGGCAAAGGGAAATCCCAGAGATGACCTATTCCCCAATCAAAATTGTAAAATGTGGGAAGATGCAAAGGGTTGGCTAACAAACCCACAGTTAATGTAGGATACCTGGAGAAACAGGGTGGGGAGACTAACAATCTCATTGTGTGTGGTGTACCTGGGGAAAGTGGGATTGTGTAGAACCACATACCCAGCCCCACGCTGGGCAGAACCGTTTTACCCACTGAATATCTCTGAATATCAATTGGTCAGCCATTTTCTGGGTCTTCCTCTACCCCCTTTTGGAGATATGGATACCCTTCCTCCCTCCTCTCGTTTGGCTGTTGAGGATTTTTGCCTCTTTGGTGACTTTGTAGGAGAGCCATGTTAGTCTGTGGTGGCAAACAAATCGAGATGTGGTAGCACCTTGTCCAACTCACCCATTTCATTGAAAGGCAGGCCCTGGATCTTTTGTTGTTATCTCTTGGCATTTGCCATTTGGCTGAACGGCTGGCATACATCTTGGTTCCTTGTAACAATGACTCAACGGGGGCACAGGCCTTCTTTTTTCTTCTTGCAGTGAGGAGTTGCATTCCCCCCGCCTCTTTGTGGTGTGACAACATTTACAAGAAGGTTACAAAAGAGTTAGAGCCAGCATTGGTGAAAGAGTGCTTAATGATCTGGAAATAGAGAGGCACGCCTACCAAACTCCTGAGTTTGGAAAAAAACCAATAAAAGGTTCCAGTTGCTCTTCGAACGAGCACCCAAGGGAAAACAGGGAGCGTGGGGTGTGCGCTATCCCTTCCTAAAATCTCATCCTTCATCTGAACTTGCAGAATTAGCTCCTTCAAGATGCCCGGTCACTGTGACTTGTGAATGGCTGATCAAAGCCACCGGCTGGGACTTGAAGGCCTGCTCAAAGAAGAGATAAACAAGAATGTTTGGCTATATGTAGGACTCAGAATTGCAAAGGAAAATTGTGGGGAGTCAGGTATCACCTTTTCCGACCCACAACTTTTATTAAAAAGCAGCAGCTTTCGTGAACTGCAGCTTTTCATAAAATTTGTGAGTTGGAAAAGGTGCTACAGAACGTCTCCTCATTTTTTGCCACCGTAGACTAACACGGCTCTCCTTTGACAAAGGAAATTGTGTAGTAGTCTCTCTAGAGCAGTGTTTCTCAACCTCGGCCACTTTAAGATGGGTGGACGTCAACTCCCAGAATTCCCCAGCCAG